CCCAGTACGCAGACCACGGACGTACATTTCCAGAGTGCGTCAATGCCTTTCCTAAAATCATCCAGTCAGCGAGTCACGGAGCTGACACTGAGTCCAGTTTTCCCACCCGAGTCACAGCACAGCATGAAGGACCCACACAGCAGTGTTCATTCCAGAAAACCAAAAAAAGGGGGGGGGGCACTACGGGATTCAGCATTCCCAGAAAAGAGATTGGTTTGTGGGGCTCATTTTATGGAGGATACTTGATAGTGCATGGAAAAAAAAAAAGTCAGATTATACTCACTGATGATGTGACAGAAGATAGTTACTACCCGTTCCCTAAGAATAAGTAATATTTTGCAGGTCAAGATCTGAGCATGGTCTTGTTTTCTCCAGCTCTGATTCTGCATGTGCTCCTTGGCATCTCTGCTCTGGGACGATATTTGTCCAAAGAAGTTTCTGCTATGGCAATTGCTTCCTCCTTGTAGATGACACCAAGCGCCCATTTTGTCAGCTTGTTCTCTAGCTTCAGACCCACCCAGAGTGTGTCACTTCTGAATTTCCATGTAACCTTGGGGTTTAGGAATGTCAGTTGTTTTTTCCTGTTCTTTCTGGAAATCTCCGTTCCAAATCAGAAAGGAAAACGCCATTCAGGTGCTCACAAGATTTATTCAAAGCACCATCTGGCTTTGGTAAAGGATTGCAAATGAAGACTGACCCAGACCCCACAGCCACACGTGCATGATGACTGGGGGTACAGGTGCGAAGTTCAGAGGACAGGACTAGGTGGGCAGAAGAAAGACATGTGCTCCCCAGATGAAGGGTGGGAACCCTTCTGCTGCGTTCTTGCTGTGTTCTGCATTTCCACCTCTGGGCCATTAAAGTTGCTGGTTCTTGGGGCATCTATCTGTGTAGCTCAGTTGGTTAAGTGTCCGACTCTTGGTTTTGGCTCAGGTCATGATCTCGAGGGTCATGAGGTCGAACCCCACATTGGGCTCTGTGCTCAGTGTCGTCTACTTGAGATTCTCTCCCTCTGCCTCTCCCCCTGCTCTCTCTCTCTAAAATAAATAAATAAAATCTTAAAAAAAAAAAAAAGTTGCTGGTTGTCTTGCCGTCTTCCCCAGGGCACTGTGAAACCTTGAGGGTAGCACCAGGTGTTCAACAAATGTGGAATGAATGAACAAATGGGTAAGAGGCTAAATAAGTAACTAAATAAATATCTCAACACTCACCTTCATTTTACCCTCTAGAATGGAGCAAATTTGGAAGTAAGGTTATTTGAGTTGCTATTTATTTATCTAAGATTTATTTATTTATTAGAGAGAAAGAAAGAGAGTGCCATGGGGGAGGGGCAGAAGGAAAGGGAGAGAGAAACTCAAGCCAACTCTGCATGAGCAAGGAGCCCGACATGGGGCTCCATCTCACCACCCTGAGATCATGACCTGAGCCGAAATCAAGAGTTGGATTCTTAACCAACTGAGCCACCCAGGTGCCCTGTTTGATTGATATTTATACACCTAGAGCTATACCTTCATGTTATATTTGAACAAGGTTTTTGTTCCTGGCTCTCCCTGTGATTCTAACTTCCTTGGCCTGAGGTAGGCCTATGGAAATCAATATTATTTTTAAAGGTCCCCAGGAGTTTCTACTGAGCAATCAGGGTTGAAAATCACCATTCCACATACCTGGAGGAATTAGTGCCCCCCAGCTGATGAAACACATGGATGGCTCCTGTCCTGTAGAATCTGAGCCTCGTGGGGAAAGATTCCCACAAACCGTTTACCCAGAGATGGAAGACAAGGGCATTTTCTGGAAGCCCAGCTCAGGGGCTCAGTTCTGCTAAGATGCTCTGGTTAAGTAGCTGCTCATCTGTAGGACATCTCAGCATTTAACTGATGCCCTAAGTGGTTTCTCCGAGGAGCTTCAGTGTCTTTCTTACATCAGCCACCTCCTTCCGATGTCCTAGGAAGGGCGGCGGCTTCCCTGACAAGCCTGAGCATGAATTCAATGTATAGACGCAGCTTCCCGGTAAAAATGCAGAATTGAAGACACTGGGATTAGAAACAAATCTATAAATCTCTCTTGCCTCGAAAATGGCCGTTTTGAAATGTGTTAAAATGCTAAGATGCCTGAAAAGTTCTGTGTATGTAGCCAGTGGAGCAAGAACTGTGATTGTTTTTCTCAGGCTGTCAGATCAAAGACTTAAAAAGTTTTTTGGCTTTGGGGATCTCTGAATTCACGTGCCCCAGTGATGGAGTCCATGCACAGGACTGCTCATCGGCTTGCTTTCTGATGCGTGCCTGGGCCGGGGGCAGAGGGGAGCAACAGCAGAAAGGGGACAGACGAGCTATGTTTTCCCTTTGCCTTGCAAGCTGTGTTCCTACTATATCTGTATCTGGCCCACCATTTCCTGTTTCTCTAATGATTTGAAAAGTGGATTTGACCTTACACTTTTATCCCCTGTCCTTTAAAAGAACAAGAAGGATGTGTACAGATGTCCCTGTCCTGGAGTTTCTGGGAACAGGCACATAATGTGCTTTTCTGGGGCCATTTGCAGAGAAATGGACCTTTACAGACACTGAGCAGCATTCCGCTATGCGAGTCGCGCTGATAGTTTTATACACGGGAGCTGTGATTCATTGGTGTCAGGAACCGTGAAAGGTCTGAGATTTTGCCCTCTTGCAGTTCAGTAAGTTCATCTGCCACAGCGTCATGGATGCTGGCAAAGCCCCGAGCCTCCCGAGGGGGAGACGAAAGCCTTTATCACACACAGCGCTGTCCGCAATTTCTTGCACCCATTCCCCAAGCCCCGGTTCTCACGGGGTGACACTGACAGGACCAGGTGATACCTGCCTGCACAGTGGGGTCTGTTACAGGAGAGGACCTCTGGGCTTACGGAACTCCAATCTTTTACAGAGGGCAGGAAGCATGCTTACCCTGTGCTCTGAGGGGCCACACTCTGTCTCCTGAGGCTGTGCACTAAACAGAAATCCTTGAAAAAATATCCCAGAGCAAAGAGTCAGCCCCTCTGCTTGGAAGACAGGCAGAAATGTGAGCCACCCTAGGGAGTCGCATCCCCAGAGTAAGTCTGTAATCCCAGAGCTTGGATAAGGCTGGAGGCTGAGGGAGACGGTGGGCTTTATGAGGCTTCCTAGGACCCATTTCCAGTGTACCAGGTCTGTACCCACTGCCCCCACGTATCAGTGAGCATTTCTGGCTAATGGACACCCCACAGCTTAACGGTTTTCGACAACCACCACCTATTTATCTCAGATGTCTGTGGATTGACTGGGGGCTTTTTCTGGCCTGGCAGGTTCACCTGACCTCTGCTGGGCTCAGGCATGCACGAGCTGGTGGTTGGCATGGCTGTCAGGCTGTCAGGCGCAGGACCACAGGGGTGATTTGTGAAGTGTCTCCTGGCATCCAGCGGGTGGGCCTGGGATGTCTTCAGATGCTGGAAGTCGCCGAGCTCCCAGGAGCAGCAAGAGAGGGAGTCCCGATGTGCTCATGCTTTTCAAGCCTTTGCATCACTCTTGCTAATACCCCATTAGCCAAAGCAGGCCCTATGGCCAAACCAGACTCATGGGCAAAAACGTAGATCCCACCTCTTGAGGGAGGGGAAGACTGTGTGGCGACTTCTAGGATCTTCCACACTCCGCATCTATGGGCGGTTCCTTCCAGCTCATCATCCAGATCCTCGCCCCTCAGAGTTCTGCCCTGTGCTCTCTTGCCTCCTGTCATCACTTCTACCCCATGCCCAATTTCATGCTCATCACCATCCTTTCTACATTCTGAAATTACTTACTTACTTATTCGTATATTAAAATAAAACAAGGAAATAAGATAAAGAATATATATAGAAGTAGGCAAAAAATGACGTTTCTCCCACCACAAAACAAGCTCTTGAGGACAATAACTTGTCTTCAGCACCCAGAGCAGTGCATGGATTGAGTAAGCGTTAATAAACATGTTAGCCAAATGACTTCCGGGACAGTGGATTTGGTCACCTTTATGGGAATGGAGAGGCAGAACCATGAAGACATAAACCAAACTCCTGCCCTGAGATGTAAAGGCAGGAGGCTTTTGGGGATGGAGGTTTGGGGGAAAGGCAGAAGCCAGGGCAACTCAGTCGTTTAGTTTTTTTTATCTGCCAGTTGGCAGAGACTTCCAGGAATGATTCGAATTGTCGCGATTCAACTGATTATTATGGAATTAACTGGTGTTGTAATGAAAGTCGCCTTTTTTTCCTGGGGGGCAAGCACACTGCATTTTTAGGATTTGGAAGCTTAGAAAAAATAGCTATTGAATTTGTAATTGTTTCCTCTTTACAATGTTACTTAGCCTTTCTATAAATCACCCCCACCTTGCTTCAAAGCCCTGGGAACAATGACATGAGGCTCTTTTCCTCTCCTTCAGTCTCACTTTTGTTTTTATTTTGTTTTGTTTGGTTTGGTTCACAGTTGAGGACTTCAGGGACACCTGGACTTCCTGTTTGCTAACCTCACTCCTGGTACCAAAATCTCTATTAGAGTTCAGCCAGGGAAGCAGAACCAGCTGTAGGAGATCTGCATCTATATATTTATGCATCTGTCCGTCTATTTCTGCATCTGTATCTATTTACTTATCAATTAGCTATTTATCCATCAATTCATCTATTTTTTACAAGGAATTAGCCTATGTAATTGGAGCCAGCAGTGTGAATGCGTCGGGCAGGACCCCAGGGTTGGAAGATCACAGACAAGCTGGAATTCGCGGTGTGGGCTGAGGCCACTCTCCACAGAAAGCCACCTTCTCTTTCTGTGAAAGCCTCAGTCCTGCTTGGAAGGCCTTTCAACTGATTGGTCAGGCCCAGCCAGATTCTTCAGGAGAATCTTCCTTACTGAAAGGCAGTTGGTTAGGGACTTCAGTGACATCTGCAGAATGCTTTCATAAGTGGGGCTGTAACCCAGCCAAGTTGACATACCAAAAAAGCCATCATACTGGACCTGGATTATTTCGGTTCTTTTTCAGGTTTTGATGAAATATGGGAACGCTTTGTGGAAGCCTGAGTGGGCAGGAAGGGACCCCATTATCTGGAGAGATGGGAGTTGAAAGACACAGAACACTGAATGGGGGCATCAACACTAGGCATTTTGGTTGACCGCTGGCCCAACCGATCTACAAAACCGAAGTTTCAGGTAGTTTTGCTGATTCACATTTTTCCCCATCCTTCTTCAGAAAACAGTTATAATAATATGTATGACCAGGCAAGTCTATGTTTGTTTGTTTGTTTTTTAAGATTTTATTTTTAAGCAGTCTCTACACCCAACCTGGGCTCAAACTTACAACCCCAAGATCAAGAGTCGCACGCTTTATCGACTGAGCCAGCCATGCACCCCAAGTCTATGTTATGACCATGAGTTTGTACCAGGTTTATTCACATTTCAAAAGGGAAATTGATCATGAGCACAGCTCTTCCTTCTCAGCCTGTAGCTCTCAGAAATAAGTGTAAATAAATGCTGGAATGGGACTTTTTGGCAAAGCCATCCCAGGATTTCCTCAGAGGACAGGAAGACAGTTGAAGTTCTCAAGAGAGAATCTTAGAGCAAAATAAGCCTCCAGCTGGTCTGGGCGGGGCCACCAACCCTCACAGAAGGAGGTTCTGCCCTGGGAGCGGGAGAGTGGAGAGCGGGCTCCTTCCAGTGTGGTATGAGATAACCACTGGGAAGTGTGCTTGAAACCTCAAGACCCTGGATCCACGTCCACCTGCAGGCATGTCAATGGACGAAAGTCCTTTGGAAGATTATGGGAAAATATTTTTTCAGAATCAAATGTGAAAACACTTAAAACAAAATTTAAAAAAATATCTGGAAGTGAAGCAGTTGGAAAGGGCTTCAGTTCTTGACTGAAAACAAAACTGAGGAGAGCTCTTCAGAAAGAATGGTGAAGAGCCACTGAAATTCTCTCAAGTTTGAGGTAGGTCAGCTGACTTGGGGCTTTTATTAGAAGGTCTTTACGAAATAGTTGTTTGACTTTTTTGGAAGCCGCTCCTGCTGCAGCGCTACCCAAGGGCTTAATTAAGTTATATTTCAATTTGTTTAAGCTGCGCATTACTCAGGAGCCTAACACGTGCAATGCCAAGTCCAGTGCTGTCTTCCAGGCCCAGTGTCCTGACACTCAAAGTGGCCAAAGGGGATCCTTGCCTCAGAAAGCAGTCTTCCCTGGTCTCTCCAGGAGTCATGACATCTGTTTCCATGCCCCTGCTGTTGCCCCAGCAGAGGGCAAGAAAGCCTCTGCCCACTTCTAGAGGTTGCCCTCCTCCTTCCGGAGGCTCTAGGCCTTGAGAATGGAAGTCCATTGGAGGAATGGTCAGGGGAGCTCCTGCTAGTTAATTCCTTTTACTAATGGAAAGTGTAGGCAGAGGGGCCCTCTTACCTCCACATGGCTCTGGTGTACTCAGTCTCCAAATTTCTTATTTATGTTCATAAAACTGTTGGTATCATGGGTCTCTTTAGTTTGTGGTGTCACTGGAAGGTGCAGAGGTTGACCCACTCGTTCACTGACATCCTTGGCAGTCTCTGAACGGGTATGAGCTTCTGCCTTACTGGTTCCAGCGAATGACATGGGACAGATGGGCAGAGGAACCAGGGGTCCCTAATGAGCAGGACTCTGTAGCTCCTATGAAATGGGTGAGGTCAGGATTGAAGTGAGAGCTACCACTGGTTCAAGTCAGCTCAGACATTTTCTATTGCTGTTGTAAGACACTTTTGGTTGTGTGTGAGGATCAGGTCCCTTGTGTCTGCTTTCACCGTTGGACTGAGGCTGTGCAAAATCAATAAAAGCAAAGGTTTCTCTTTTTTGTTAGAGAGTCAGCCTGGGGGCCTTGGAGGTCAGGAATGAGTGGAAAATCTAGGAAGAGTAACCACCCCATGTGCACCTGAGGAAGGGAAGGAGTGAGTTTGCTGATTTCAAGAAGAGGAAAGCAACCAAGATTTGCTCAACTCAAGGATATAATTAGCTGACAGGTTTTCTTTTTTCTTTTTTTTTTTTTTTTGCTGACAGGTTTTCTTGAGAGAGGCAAGTTCCCCTTCAACAGATTTTATATTCCTGAATTTAGAAGAGGGAAGAAGAAAGTCAAGACCATTTGAAAAGGACTAATTATAACAGCTTCACCTTTGAATTGACACTAAGTGGGTGGCAGAGGTGGAAACACCCTTATAACTTTAATATTTTCAGGTCTATAATATGGCAAAGGGGTAACAAACATATTTTTAGCACGTAGCATATTGACAGCCACTGATTTGAAAATAAGTACAGATTGCAAATCCCACTGGTCTCTTGATGTCTAAGATGAGAGCTTTTCAAGTTATCTAAATAGCCTTTGGCTTTCCCTCAGGGCCTCTCCTGAACAACTACAAGGGAAATGAAGCTTCCCACTCTCCTCTTGATATGCTAAGCCCTGCAACATTATGTGAATCTCCTTCTATCCCAGGTCATCCATTTTCTCCCTTTGTCACCTGATCTCCAGGAGGTGGCCCACCAGGAACACACCCTCACCTCAGGCCCCTCTGTGGTCCCACCTCTTCTCTCTCTCCAAGTTGTTCTCTCCCCAGCCCTTCTGTCAACACCACCTACCTGCTGCCATGTTCCATTTTCTTGGGTTCTTGCTCTTCTGTGTCCCCACTGATGCCCAGCTGTTTTATACCTCTCTAGAGCATCGTTACCTGTCAACACCAGGCTTGTGTACACACACAGGTGGAAAGTTTCTACCCTGTAGAGGTTCGTGTGAGGATATTTTGGGGACTTCTCCAAATGTTGGTGATTGCCTTCATCCTTCACCAGCACTGGGTAGTCCTCCTGGCTTCTCTTGGTCCAGAATACCACTCACACATCTGAGGCACAAGGACCCATATTAAGTACAGGAATACTTTGGAGATATTGTGGATTTGGTTCCAGGCCACTGCAATAAAGCAAATACCGCAATAATGTGAGTTAAATTAGTTAATTAAATTAATTAATTAATTAAAAAGTAGTTTATTGAGGGGCGCCTGGGTGGCTCAGTTCGTTAAGCGACTGCCTTCGGCTCAGGTCATGATCCTGGAGTCCCGGGATGGAGTCCCGCATCGGGCTCCCTGCTCGGCAGGGAGTCTGCTTCTCCCTCTGACCCTCCTCCCTCTCCTGCTCTCTGTCTCTCATTCTCTCTCTCTCAAATAAATAAATTAAAAAAATCTAAAAAAAAAAAAAGTTTATTGCTAAAAAGATGCGAACCATCATCTGAGCTCTCAGTGAGTCATAATCACTGATCACAGATAACAAACACAATAATAACAAAGTTTGAAATATTGTGAGAATTACCAGCATGTGACGCAAAGACATGAAGTGAGCAAATGCTCTTGGAGAAACGGCGGATAGCTTTGCTTGATGCAGGGTTGCCACAAGCCTTTGCTTTGTGAGGAACATAGTATCTGTGAAGTGTGATAAAGTGCAACAAAAAACATGCCTGTACGGCTTTGTCTACACTTAAGTAATGAGGAAGCTTGGAAGTAATCGCCTGCTGGTCCTTTTACTCTTTCATTTCCTGGTAAGTAATTAGACATGGTTCTGCTCAAAATAGGGGCTCGTTGAGTGCTTTCTGTGGTTAGACTTCATGACCACTGTTGGTGGTGATTTATCATGTCTCCAGCTCTTCTCGTCCCAGAAAAGAAATCCCATATGTCATCGTTTGCTCTGTGAGGTCCTTAAACAATACTGGTGTGGAAACGGGTGAGAATTTCAGTAAGCTCACTTCGATGCAATCTTCTTTCTTTCATGTTTCCTTGGAAGCTTCTAAATGGAGATTTCTTTGAGGAAACTGTTATAGGATGCTTGAATAAAATTTGAGAATAGCTAGAGCATGTAAAGGATACCAATGTCATTTGTCACTGTGTATTGTAGAAGGCAAGCTTTTGACTAGAAGTCAGGAGACTCCGCTTCTTCAAGATCTGACTCACCCACTGTTTAGCTGTGTAATTTTAACAAAGTTACTTAATCACTGTGTTTCACGTTGTTCATTAGGTGTTAACCCCTAAACACATTAGTTAAATACCTTAACACTCTATGGTAGACTGAATAATGTTCCCCCAAGAGACATTCTAATCCTTTGAACCTGAATGCTACCTTGTATGGTAAAAGATGTGAGTAGGTTAAGGGTTTTGAGATGGGGAAATTTTCTTGGATATTCAGGGTGGGCCTAAAATTCAATCACATGTATCCTTATAAGAGAGAATCAGAGGGAGATTTTATTACACAGAAGAGAAGAGGGCATGTGACCACGAAGGCAGAGAGAGTGGTGATGCCACCACAAGACAAGGAATGCTGACAGTCACCAGAAGCTGGAAGAGGCTGGAACGGAATCTCTCCAAGACCACCCCCAGTGGGAGTGTGGCCTTGCCAACACCTCGATTTCAGCTCAGGGAAACTGATTTTGGACTTCTGGCCTCCACAACGGTGAGAGAATAAATTTCAGTTATCTTCACCTGCTCAGACCCACTAAAACCTGGTTGCTTGCTGTGGGCTGCTCTTTCAACTCTTCCCAGCCTTATAATTTTCCCTCTCTTCCATCTTGCTAACCTCCATTTCGGACCCTTCAGGGCAGTATCCGGGGATGGGAGAAAAGAAAAGGCCAGGAAAGTTCACACTTGCCTAACGCCGTCAGGAACTGGCCTGTTGTTCTCAGGTCTGCCAGGGGTTTGAGGTGGACTCTTTCCTTAGCTGTGCTTGTTAGGCTTTTCAGAGACCTGCACTTCCCCATCCGCCTCTGCTGGCCATCTCTCACCTGGGCGATGTTCTCATTATGGTTGGTTGCTTCCTCTTGCTCAGCCTGAGGCATTTGGTGGTACCCCTGGCGTCTTTCTGCCCAGGACTATTTGCCCCTCTTGGCAGCCATCTTGGAAAGAGTGTAAGAAGCCTTCCCTTGGCTCCCTCATGTGAGTTACTGGCCTGTAGCCTCAAAGAATGTGTTCAGGCAACCGTGCAGTGGCCTAACACCCCCATCCTTTGCTCTGCCATTGAAGCAGCTGGCCAGATTTCTCCATGTGGAGGTCACAGTATCCCCTAAACCAGAAGACACACATGAGACTCTCCATGTGGTCTTTTTAAAAATAGGTTTTATTTATTCATTTATTTGAGAGAGAGAGACAGAGAAAGAGCAAGAGCAGGGGGAGGGGCAGAGGGAGAGGGGAGAGGGAGAAGCAGGCTCCCCACTGAGCAGGGAGCCCAAAGTGGGGCTCGATCCCAGGACCCTGGGATCATGACCTGAGCCGAAGGCAGATGCTTAACCTTCTGAGCCACCCAGGCGCCCCCTCCATATGGTCTTATCGTGGCCCCTTTCCTTCAGCTCAAAGTGAGAGACCCCTGAAGTGGTGTCTGGACTCAGAATAGCAATAAGGGTCTCATAAATGTCTCCCCTAATTCTTTTTTTTTTAAAGATTTTATTTATTTATTTGAGAGAGAATGAGAAAGAGAGCACATGAGAGGGGGAAGGGTCAGAGAGAGAAGCAGACTCCCTGCCGAGCAGGGAGCCCGATGCGGGACTCGATCCCGGGACTCCAGGATCATGACCTGAGCTGAAGGCAGTCGCTTAACCAACTGAGCCACCCAGGCGCCCTCCCCTAATTCTAACACTCATCTTTTTTATGTGTGAGAAGGCTGGGTGTGAGACGGAAGAGGTGTTCAAGGGTAAGAGGCACAAAACAGATTTTGATCTCCACTAATGTAAATCCTACACCATGATGGTCTCACGCCCACTTTGGAATGTGGCATTTTTAGTTCTGGTGCCTCAGCAATAACTACCATTTCACATGGCTACATCTCTGTTTACCCGAGGGACCACGTCCTGGGGCCATTATTCAACCACCAAGGTAGTTCTCTTCTAGTCCTGAGCTCTTGGAAACAGAACATTCCTTGAAAGCTTACCTTAGTCAAATGACCAACCCTTTGGTGAGGAGTTGAGTCCTGTCCCTGCTCCCTGAATGTGCTCAGCACATTGCTGAAATTCAGTAAATAGGAAATACTACTAACTCATAAAACAAGAGTATGTACCGAAGAAGATCAAAGAGCTACAATTTTAAAAGCTCCCAGCTGCTGCTGCTGGTGGTTTGTGGGTCATCCTGTGAGCAGCATGTGCACGGAGTCTGTTGTGGTTGGTGTGCTAGAAACCCTCCTCCTTGGTCTTAAGAGACAGGGGACTTTTTTTAATGGAAATATATATATATATATATATTTTTAAAGATTTTATTTATTTATTTGAGAGAGAGAATGAGATAGAGAGAGAGCATGAGAGGGAAGAGGATCAGAGGGAGAAGCAGACTCCCCGCTGAGCAGGGAGCCCGATGTGGGACTCGATCTAGGGACTCCAGGATCATGACCTGAGCCGAAGGCAGTCGCTTAACCGACTGAGCCACCCAGGCGCCCCGGAAATATATATATTTTGGATTATAGTGCAGGTCACAGGGAAATACGGATTTGCTTTACAATGTAATTTTGCCAAATGAATCCGTCCACACGCACCACTTGGACTTTGGAGAATTCACTCGAGAGCTGAAGCCCTCATGCGGTAGGCTCCTTTCCAGGTGGCATAGTGAGTAGAAAGGCAGGGGTTTGGGGTCATAAGGATTGAGCTCAAATCTCTGCTGACTCCTCCTGGACATGTGACTTTAAGTCAGTTGAATAAACCTTGTGAGCTTTAGTTTTCCATAGGGAAAATGGGGATCATGTGTTTTCAATATGTAAAATGGGATTTTTGAGTGAAGTAAGTAATGTCCTATGTATCTGAAGCAACTGGAATGGTGCCCAATATGGAGTAGGCCCCAATTTGATTGAAATTATCCTTATGATGGTGTGCCCTCCACTGTGATAGGTAGTGCCAGTGCTGAGATGAATAAGACTGAGAGTCTGCTTGATATGAGGGCCTGGGGGAGAAGACAGATAGAAAACCCCAGAAATGACAGTAGGTCTGATGGGTCCATGAGGAACCAGCACCCAGCACAGAGGAGGCCCATTGCCATGAGACAAGCGGACTCTCTGCTTTCTTGTGTGTGTTCTCATTGTGTGACAGGAGATGTCTCTCTTTTTACAGCCTCTATGAGTAGAAAACTCCACAGTCCTTTCTCCAAAAATGTGTGACTTGACTCAGTTCCCCTGCACCCCCCCGCCCCGCCCCGCCATGGGGTTAAACTAAAAGACCAGATAAATCTATTTTGGTTTCACACGGAGATATCATTTAAAATAGAAAAGGGCTCAAAATGCCCTCAGAACAACTGGTCTTTCTTTAGGGAATAAGGAGAAACTGCAGACCAATCCTATCGTCCTTCCTGGGAAAAGAAAGAACAAAGGTAAGGAAGAAACTCCACAGCCCCAGAAGGGAATAGTGCTGGTTCTTCTGAAATTCCTTTCAAGGAAACAGCTTTGTTCCCTGTTTTTTCATCACACTCCAACGCAGCCTTGACGCCCAGAGCTTTAAAACTTGAACCCCAACTCTGTAGCCACAGGTTACAGGATCAGAGACAAATGCCTTTAGAAATCTTTCTGTCATTGGAAGGAGTTACTTTCTCACCTTGTCAGACAATATGAGAATAGCTGGTACAGAAATTGTCACCAAAACAATCCAGGGAGATACGGGAACTTTGGGGTGTTGACACACCGCAGAACGCCACGCAGGATATTTGCCAGTCGAACCGTCCCACTTTGGTTGACGATGCTGGGTGCACAAGGAGTGGCTGAGATGGAAGTGGGACAGATACCTCTGCCATGTCCCTTGTCCTGAATCGAGTTCCCTGCGGTGGCTGTTGAAATGCAGACTTTTTGAGTCAGGTCTGACTACCCCAGGCAGCGTCAGCACTGAGACCTGAGGACAACGTGACCCCTAACGGGCACGATTCGTGTGTCTTCTAGACGAGGGAAGGGACAGAGCTGTGCCTGCCCCTTGTCGTCACATTTCTTTCCTCTTCAGTTCAGCCTCCACACTTCTGCCAGAGAGAGGTACAGGAGATCTAGTCTGAAAGCCTCCACAGGTCCCTCCCCGGCTGGCTGTAGGATGCATTCCACGCCGGGGAAGGCCACGCTTCTCACCATGCGCCCTCCTCCAGCTGCTCTCAACGTCTCCCATTCCTGGGAGAGCCCCCACCTCCTCTGCTGACATCTGTCGTCTTCCTCCTGCGTCTTGCCTCGTAAGTGCTGATGCATTCTGACAGCTCGGATGTCAACTCGCCTCGAAGCCTTCCTCGGCTCTGTTGGCTTCTACAGCCCTTGCTCATGCCTCTTCAACAGTTCTTTCCACATTGTTTTAAACTGATTTTTTATGTCTCCCACTGCAGATCTGGGGCTGTGTACCTGGCATCTACTAAGTCCCAGTGAATGATTACTGATTCGAAGCATCACCAAGAGGGGGCTGACATCAGTCTGCTTCTCCTGACTCACGTTAGAAAGGTTTTGACTAATTTGACTGCTTGTGGTACATCTGGCCTCACAGAGATGTTTTAATAATACATGCAAGTATATATGATTCACATCCTCTGATTTTGTTATTTTGCGGGTAAATTACCAGTTGGGAAATGGGTGCTCTTTTATTCTAAGGCTTAGGGAGGCCTTGGAATTCATCAACATGTGTTGTATGACTTTTTAAGGCTTCGAGCTCTGGAGAGTCAGAAAGATCTCTGAGAACAACACAGGTCTTCTCAAAGAATTCAATTCTGTCTGGAGATAATAGGAGGTGATTAAGTGCTGAATTGTGAGTAAAGAGATCTACCATGTGCACACAGTAGGTGCTCCATGAAGACTGGCTCACTGAGCCCTATGTGAAATAGGAAGAAGACAGCTGGTAAGAGAGGGTTATTTCCATGTCTGACATGACGCCAACCATTCTGGTGTCTAGCCTTCTGTTTTATACAAAGAGTAAACAAGGTTCTACCGATTTTGAGGCTCAGGGGAAAATTTCAGAAAAATTTCAGAGACTTACTTTAGTATCTCTCAGAGTTGCCTGTCATGGAAAGGCATTTCTCACTTCTTTGAAGGAGGCTGTTAAATTTTTATAGAATCTTTTCTCTGAAGAGTTCACATACCAAGATTTACGTATGTATCAAGGACATGATTTTATTTACATATTTTAAATTTGTCATTCCCTTGAAAACAGATCAGGGAATAATATTTTGTATAATTTAATGTTTAGGACCAGGAGATTTCCCTAAAGGACTTCATACCCGGGGGTTACCCCATGAGGCAGGGATCTGACTCAGCACCATGAAAGGCGTAGGAAATGGGCCCTAGGACGAAGTGTGCAGACAATTGGCATGAAAGAGGTAGGAGAAAGCCTCACCTTCCTTCAGGTATCCACGGGCTGAAGAGCCGGGCCCGTCCAGGAACTGGAGCTTGGGGCACTGGAGACAAAGACTTTCCCTTATGTTTGTTTTCCAGTTTTCTTAAGCTTGGTTCTGTGTTGTGGCCTATACACCAAGCAGAAGTGACACAAAAGAAGAAAGAAATGAAAATTGTTCTACCCCTCAAGGTGTTTGCAGCCCAGCAGGGGAGGCAGACGTAGAAATAAAAGGTGCGGAGGCTCTGGATAACCTTAGGCTAATTTGAAAGCCCAGTGGTGGAAACTATCACCTCAAGGTTATTTGCCATGTAAAGTGCTGGGAGAATGACCCCAAAGGGGGGCCTCAGAACCATTCCTCTGAACAGGAGGGGAGCCCTGGGGATGCCAATCAGCAGCTTGTCCAGAACGGCAGATCCTGGTCCCTCAGGTTTGTGGCCTCCATATAGAGACCTCAGGCTCCTGTTTGCCCAATTTGGGGCCCCCTCTGTCCCCTCAGCATTTTGAAGTGGGGGACGAGGTCCCAGGATGTTCACTGAGCCTTGGTTCATGGGCGATTTCCTGTAGATACCAAGTGGCTGAACTGCGTGTGGTGCCCCAGGCAGGACCTCTCTTGTTCCTTCTCCTGGGGATAGTCAAGCATAGTTTCCCTCACTTCCTTGCATGGCTGGGCGTGGGGCTAGGACGACGAAGATGCTCATGCTCCTGGGCCGGGAGGACGTGGCCAGCTCCACCCCAGGCCTGTAGGAGAAATCCCCTCTCTCTCCTTCTTTTGCTAGGACAGCATTTCCTTGAGTTTGTCATCAGTGATAAAATCTGGAAGGCTGAGATGAGGACAGGGCAAGAGGCCGAGTGACGGTTAGGCCTGCTTTTGTCTTAGGCCTTCGGCCTGCCTGCACCTATAACGCTCAGCCTACCTGACAGAGGGAAGCTCTGTTGAGCTCTGGAGCAAAAGCCACAGGAGGAGGCCCCTCGAGGGCTCAGGGATGCTGAGTTCCAAACCGTAACCCAGCTGCCGCTCCTGGCAAGTCTGAACAAAACGGTGAGAAAGGGGGTGGCAAAAATGGAGTCCTCCGCCGAGTGTGATGTGAACAATTGAGGGATGGTTGCTATAGCTGCAAGTCTAGAAAAACCTTAGATCAATAAAAGAAGATGCCTTCTCCAGAAGGTGGTGGCACACACTAGAAGTCATAGCCACCAGCGATTTCCATGTAACTAGGATCCCTTGAGGAAAGTCTAGGAAAAACCAGGACCTTCTCCCTGACTGGAGCTCGCCACTTCTGGCGCAGATGATGCTGTTCCAGCCAGGGCTCTAGCAGCATAAACTATCCCGTGGCTGTCTGGAAATCTTCCCCAATGGGCTCTTATTCTTTGAGTGGTCCCTTCCCTTCTTCCACCTCCCCCTTGGCGCCTCCCCCCTCCCCCCACCCCCCTAGCTTGGATTTCTGAACATGAGTCTAGAGAATAAAATCGGAGATTGTTTACACTTTCTTATGCAACCTAAATCTCACTTGGCTAGAGAGGCGTGTACAAAAAATACATTCTTTTTTTGCTTGAATGTTTTAGACTTTAACCAGTTATTACTGTTGGACTGTCTGGAATCAGTAATGATAGGTACCAGTGAAATAAATTATAGGTGAAAGTAGGACCAAGTATCAGAAGGACACAGTTCCCAGGACAAGTGCAATGGAAAGAACGAGAGTCTGATGCGTCACTGCCTCAGCCCTCCAGCAACAGTAAGTGAGGAGCTGGAATTCTTGACACAGGATCAGAAAGTGGTTGAGGCTTTTGGGCTGAATTAGACATTTTACACATAAGTAAGCAAGTAGGGCGAGGTTCTTCCCAATAATTGCCGGGGAGGGTTATTATCAACCCCAATGAAACAAACATATTAACATATTAATGCCACGAATCAGCTTCTGACGGGGGCATCCCTAGGGAAAACTGAAAGTCAAGGTAATCCAGGTGCTTTTCAACAGGAACCCAGCGGCTCAGTCCTTTGCACGTGTGGCGCCCTTAAAAAGACAGGTTCCCAGGCCTCCTTTAGACCCCTTAGAGTTTCTGTAGCTCCCCAGGTGATTCTGATGTATGGCCAGCTTAAGAGCCATTGGTGTAAGCTGTGGGTGGGAGAGCTACTCTTCCCAGACTTTTGTCAAAATTCTCTCCATTACCAAGGAAAGGGGTGAGTCTGGGGGCTTTAAGTCTTGATTCTTAGGGGCCCGCACGTAATCTCTTCTGCTGGATAAGTGGGTGTAACATGGACAGTCCACAGCAAAAGGACCAGAGACAGGATTAGAAAGAGCCGCTGCTCTTCCGTATTGATGGACTTGACTTTCTCTCCTTGGAGAAAAGCATGGCAGGCAAAGGCAGTGCACTTATGTACTAGACCTTGTTCTGGGAACTTGACATAAAATCTCTCTTATAATCTTTACAAATGGGTCTTTTTGTCTCCCACTTACATACGAGAAAGCTGAGGCTCAGCGGAGTGAAGGAGTTTGCTCCAGGGCTGGATATGCTATACAGCTGGGGTTCGAACCACGGCCTGTCTGACTCCTCCTCTCAAAGCTTCACCTCAGAACACACGAATCCTGCTTGCAAAGTTCAGCAGCGAAGACATGTTAAAGCCGCCGGGAAGACTTTAAGAGGAGTTGAGGGGCAGGCGTTTGCTTCCAACAGCTGGGAAGCATGATAGAATCAGCTGCATGGTTAGGGGATGGCCCTCGCAGCCCTGTCCCATCTTCCTGGATTTGGGAGCCAGCAACAGGGAAGTGCCAATGCTCCTGTGACTTGCCTTCCCAAGAGACTTTTGTCCGGTGGAGCTGCGGCTTTGGCGGAAGAGACAGCCGAGAGCAGGGAAAAGCAATAAGGAGTGAAGAGCAGAAGGGCTTTCTCCATAGATCCCTGTGAACTCTGATCTCCTTGGGATTTAAGGAAACTGCCCTCGCTGAAGTCCAGCGTTCCTTGTTCTTGTTAACATTCATGAAATGAAAGAGCCACACATCTTAGAGGACCTCAGCTAGACGGCGTCTCTGGAAGGCCCGAATTCTGGAATAGGAGCTGGTCCCAGGTGAGTACACTCTGCACGCTCTGCTACCCATGTCTGGGTGGAGGTGAGAGGTCCCTGGCAAAACAGTCAGAACCTGATTATTGTGAGAGTGGCCTGTCAGATCTGAGTACAAATCTGACCCCGCTCGAAAATAGGCTTCTGAGTGTCTGCGGTCTCTCTACAAGATACCCTGTGTATTTACAGCCTGGGAGTAAAAATGAGTGAGCCTATTTATAAATACCCGTTCACAGGGACCCAGACGGCCTTCCACCTGCATTCAGTATCACAGGTGTGCTAGACCCCAAGTGATTATTCCAGACACCTGAAATAATGAGTGAAATGAGGTGGGAAGCCCTGAAATTCTGGGTGTATTTTGGGTTTTAGGTTCTGTATCTTTTCTAAATGCAAAGTATATTTGGAAAGTGCTCTCCAGACTTGATCTGTATCTAACCCTCTGGGAAATACGGTAACATTTACTGCCAGGATATACGTGTCTCTCTATGTTACTCCTTCAGGGCTTTGACACATATTATTAAGTAAGACATAACAGAAAGGGCAGGTAATTACGTTACTCTACCGCAGAGCGGAGTTGACTTGTTTCTGCCCAAGTTGTTGTGAGTTGTGATTTATGGGGGCGCCATTAGGGAATCTCATAGACATATTGGATATTTTTAAAGATGAAAAATTTCCAGGTAGTGATGCAGTTTATTTAAAAATGAAATACTCTTTCATCCGAATCAAAGAATTAGAGCCTACAACCACAGCAAGAGGTAGTTTCTTAACATTTAGTTGCGATGGAGAGTCTGAGAACATGTCAATTCATTTTTCTCTTCTGTACATTAAAATCCATTGGTCTGTCTTGCACTTTGAAGGGATTGTTCATTCGTACATGATTTTGTAGCATGATGCTTTGGTCATTTGGAAAATATTACGCCACTGAGTTATATAGGTCTTCCAAATGTTGACATGTTTTATTACACGGTATCAAAAAAATCACAGCTGTTTATGTCACCACCCATCTTATCAGAAAAGTCTTTAAGGGTTTGGAAGTTGTCAATGTCATGGTGGTAGATCGAAATTTTCCAAAATTCTAATTTTTGCTTGAGAGCTCAAATTTTTATTGTTGCTAACAAATAACTGTCACTTTACCTTGAAGTGACAGGCATAATTGCTTTGTTGTTGGGTAAATGTCCACCAACCAGTTTGTCAGTCATTCTTTGAGGTAAAGATGTTGTTTCAATAAGAAAGCAGCTAGGGGCGCCTGGGTGGCTCAGTTGTTAAACGTCTGCCTTCGACTCAGGTTGTGGTCCTAGGGTCCTGGGATTGAGCCCCGCATTGGGCTCCCCGCTCCGTGGGAAGCCTGCTTCTTCTCCCACTCCCCCTCTCTCACTGTGTCTCTCTCTGTCAAATAAATAAAATCTTAAAGAAAGCAGCTAGTTCAGTTCTCATCTTGAACAATCAGACAATTGCTTTTCCTAGAGACAACTTCGGGATAGCAGAAGCTCTTTATGTGTGCCTCCTGTTTTGACTCAAAGCTTATTAAAAAGATGTGTACCAGGGCGCCTAGGTGGCTCAGTCGGTTAAGCGTCTGCCTTCGGCTCATGTCATGATTCCAGGGTCCTGGGATCGAGCCCCACATCGGGCTCCTTGCTCTGCAGGGAGCCCGCTTCTCTCTCTCCTCCCCGCTTGTACTCTCTCACTGTCTCTCTTTCTCTCTCTCTCAAATAAATAAAATCTAAAAAAAAAGATGTGTACCCAGGGTTGAGATTAATAAAATTGCTATTTTTTTAACTGACTCATCAAGGAGATTTTTAAGTGAAACAGACTTTTTTAAACTGTGAGCGCATCCTGCTGAAGAAATCAGTGAGCATTAGAACACTTTGGTGTCGCTGCCTTGGTTTGTGTTAAAATACCAGCAGTTTTACTCATCATTGCATTTGCAAATGTCAGAAACAGTGAAGAAAGCAAATGATGTCATAATATTATTATGAAAACAATTTCAGCCTCATGGACCGCCTACCTGACAGGGTCTCAGAGCCCCGAAGGCCTGAGGGCTGGACCCTGAGAACTGCTGACTTAGAGTATTTGACCTCCCTCAGATGATGTGCACAAGTCTTGTAATCATGGTTCTCCCTCAGGCCTTCTGATGCTGAACACAGTTGAGGGACCCCGACACTTCTAGAAAAGTCAGAATCTTTCAGTGCTTAGGTACAACAGGCCATGAGATGCCAGGTGGTCCCAAAGCGAGGATATAAAGGATCCCCCAGAACATACGTCTTAGAGAAGAGTGAAGGTTGCTAGGACGAGCTCATTTCTCCCTTTGGGTAATGTTCTGTCTTTCCTGTGGTGTGGGTGCTTATGATGGTGTTCTGCAACTGGGAAAGGGATGTCCATCTTTTCTTTCTACCTCCATTTCCTTCATGTTAGCTTGGTTCAGAATGCCCAGTTGATGAACCGTAAGGGAGCTTTCTTATCCAAGAACCATGACCTAAAGATCAATCTTCACACTTCTCCTTGTCTTTTATGCTACTTGCAGTCCTCAAAGGATCAAGCTATTGCAAGAGGGATCCTGGCCCTGGCCAAAATAAATCATGGTGCGTATCCGTCTGTTTAGCTTCTTGAAGACTTGTGTCAGAGCTCAGAAGAAGGAGCTTTCCTGGATGCTGGGGTAATACCAGAAGGAGGCGATCTGGAGCTGGATGCGAAGAAAGGGCGGATGGAGGAGACAGTCTGGCTGTGAGACTGGCTGGTGCGGAGATGGCCCCACTCAAATAACCCACAGAGTCCTCAGCAAATGCTTGGCCTGCAAGAAATTGCTGCCCACCACAGTCTCTTCACAGGCTGTACATTACAGTGAGCTGGGCCGAGGCCCTAAGAAAAGGGGGTCCTGGGAAGGCTTCTACCAGGTAGAAGGCCCTTAGGTCCCTCACCTTGTGTAAAGTCTTCGTACATCAGCCCTGATGCTTACTAGCCCCCTGACCTGGGGTAGCTTTCTCTACCATTTTATGCCACATTTTTGTCTGTAAAATGGGGATTATGCTTACTGTACAGGGCAGTGAGGATTAGATGGGTTAATACGTGTAAAGCACATGTTTATGAACAGCACTGTCTAGAGTAAATGATCAATAAAATGTAAACTATTATTATTATTACTATTATTAATTTCACTTCATTGAATCCTCTCATAACCCAAAGAGATAGAAGTGATTATTTCTGTTAAGGCATAGTTTCACATGGATAAATTCACGAGTCTCATGCAATTATAAAAGGAACACATATCAAAGATTTTAGTTAGCTCGTTAATTAATGAAAGAACCATTAAGATGTTAAGGCTAGTTCAGAGAGCAATTGAGAAGCTGGATATACTGTAGGCAATGTTAGGATGAGATTGCTGGATAAGGTACAAGGGTGAGTAATGTCCATCAGGGGTAAAACCCATCGTATTTGCGGTTATATCTTCTGCTGGATAGAAATTATTTACATCTTGTAGGGGATGAAAACGTTTTCCTTGGCCCTCTTAAAGTCCCTGGCTGGGTCTGAGAGTTAAACTGACAAAGACCAATTAACAAAGAAAAGTGGACAAATTTTATTGACTTTTTACGGGAACATAGGAGTCTTCACCAAAGAGCGAAGATCCAAAAAAGTGGCAACAGCAGGAAGCTTTTATACCTTTTAGCCAAAGAAACGATAAATTTGTGAAAAATTGACAAGACAGAGGCGTTTGGGCTGGAGGTGGTAAATGGTAAAGAAGTAACCAGGAAGATAAGGGTTAGTTTAAGAAGATTTGTTTGAACAGATTTCTCAGCCCCAGACTCCCTGTCTTTGGTGATCAGAATGTCCTCCTTCCTCCTGGTGCAGGGAAAGGACTTTTCACTTGGGGGTTTTACAGCATCTTTCAGGGAAATAGGGGGAGACAGAGAGAGAGAGATCAGAGTAATCTTCCCACTTTTGCCATTTTTGTCATATTCCTTTAGCTTAAGATAGTGAATATGCTAAAGTGGTCTGTTTTGGGGTAGTGTGTCCTGAACTCCATCAGTTCCTACTGGACAAAAATTTACAGGTTTAACTCTGCTCCTACAGAGCTGAAAAATATTCCAGATGATAAAAAGGCCAACCCAGTACTGTGCTCAAAAAACACCCAGTAATCTCTTTTGCCTGTTTTGAGATTTTGGATGAATTTTCCCATAGCTTCAAGGTATGAATAGGGAAATTGAGTCTCAAAGAGGCTAAATAGTTATAGGGCTAGAAACGGCAGAGCCAGAATTCAAATGCCTACACATCCCTCCGTGTTCTTTTCACTAAACCTATTTCTTCCACTCAAATAGAATTCACTCTTTAAGGAGATGACTGGAGTATATACAAGGAACTCCTGGTCTCTGAGGGATGTGGGAGAGACTAGGAAAGAGTTAAATTAGCAACACATCTTAGCAAAAACATTTCTTTTCTCCTCCCCTCCTTTTTTTTTTTTAATTTACCATGAGATGAAATGAATTTCAGGGCATGGTGGGGGTCCAAGTATGTGTGAAATCATTTATAGGTTATTCCTGGATTGGAAGAAAATACATTTGTTACTAATAACTCAATGTAAATTCTTCTTATACTGTTAGTATAATTACTTTCAAATAGGAGTGAAAATTTTTTATTGTAGTTAGAAAAACAACATTTTTTAATTTTTAAAGTATTATTAGCTGGGTTATTAGCAAGAATAAAATTGAACTTTTTAAGATGAGTTTGAACTGAAGGCAGTGGTTGCTTTGTATTCCTTTTTAACTTTGTCAGAATTTGTCAAAACAGGATATAAAGCAAAAACGCATGGAGTAGGTGAACCAGAGTAGATTTATTTATAAGCAGGAACTTAAGCCAAATGCAGCAGTAAACTGAAAAAATGGAACAAATAACTTTAATTGGTTTTTAAAAATAAAGAAATTCAGGCAGAATTAACAAAAAATAAATGAGTCAATTTTAACCAGATCTGAATAGTGTTGGGGTGGAAAACTTGCCATCTGAGTAATTAGCACCAGGAAATATCTTAGGGAGGGCACTGTCTTAATTTAGGAAGAGCTTTGTGAGCCACTTAGGGAGGAAGGGGATGCCCTGGGGATGTGGCCTGGAAGAAGTAACATCATCGTAGGACACACCTTGAGGTGGCGGGTGAGGTGACCACAGTGTAGGAGCTTGGAACGTTGGAAGGGGTGCACCAAGAGACTGTCCCAATGGAGGAGTGGGCAAACCCGTTAAAGAACAGGGATTTTTAATACTCACTTTAAAATTATTGTTTGCTTTGTCCCACCACAAACCCCTCTGAGCTCTGGTAGCCTTACGCTGCATGTGCTAAGGACTCGGGTGAGTGGTGGTTGGTTTTTGTTTTGTTTTGGTGGTAGGATTGTCAAAGTTGCAGGGGAATTCAAGGGAAAATGACTAATTTCCAAGAAAACAGCCATGAAAGAGATGTCTGCAAGAGGTGGAGGGTCTCCAAGGAATAGAACTTGAGGGCTGGTAGTGATCTGGGGATTGGAGCCCCTGGAGCGTGGGGTGTGTGGAAAAAGGGACCTGAATTAATGTGTTTTCAATACTGAAGCACAAGAAGGTATTTTCTGGTGAATTACACAGTGAAGAAAACAAAGACAGAATATTAAAATTTTCTCTGGACCAGATGCCCATGGCCCTGAGTTCCCTCAGCTGTGGCCCATCAAGGATTGGGCTGACGTTTTTGTTAAGAAATCAAGGAGACTATAAACAAGGGTTGTTCCTTGTCTATGATCCTTTAAAGGATGGTACCTCTGAGGTAATGATTATGAGTCAGTATGACTTAGTGCTTCTGTTTTTGTAAATAAGTACTAGGGAACTTGTGGGGACTGTTCTAGATGCGAGAGAAGGTGACTTCTGTTCTGTGAGCCTGCAAGCTAAGGGAGGGTATGATCGTAACCAGAGATGGCCCAGAGCTGGGCTACGGGTCAGCAGTCCACCAGGCTTCCCCCCACAACCACTTGAAGGAAGCTGGGTGAAAACCTAGTTGGGGTTCCACGTGTTGAAGATCTCTCTCTTCTTCAAGGACCTCTCATCTGGTTAGGAGCTCAGTTTTCTTTCATTCAGTTACATTTTTTTTCTTCTTCAAATTCTCAGTATAAACCGCTCATTTTCTCCCTCTTAGGGCAGTGGTTGTAAACCTATAATTATTTTATGGAAGCACACTTTCTGCAGTATGTATGAGCATTTTCTCAGCAGAGGTGGGCAAAAAACACGGAAGCCTATGACAGGGAGTGAGGGGTTTTGCAAGGAACTTACCAGTAAAGGACAGACATGAAAGATTTCCTCACAGTGTGAACTGTCCTGGCCTTTCTGAATGTCTTCATATCAAGAGATCCCAAGGCTTTCTTAGCTGTGGCCCCTGTGGCCAGGGAAATGGAAGGAAACCCGCCGACGCCACCACCACGGCTCTGGCTCAGGTTCCTGCTCTGTGATTCCTTGACCCCAGGCACTGCATGGTGCCCACAGTTGCTTCAGTTAGAGAGAAGTACCCTCCTCTTTCTGAACTGAAGCTGAGGTGGGTACTTTGAAAACTTGTGCCCCAGGGTCTCCTGAACATCCTCTCACCTCCATACGTTGCTCTTCCTAGCTTCTGGTTCTCTCCAGCCTTGAGGCCTGGCCTCATCAGGCGGCGGAAGCAGCCTTGCTCTGGGTCTCCGTCCGCAGCAGGGATGGCGCCGGGAGGACTGCCTTTTCCTCTCTCTGCTTCTCCTTTCGAAGCCAGCCCGGCCGAGCTTTATCCTATGAATCTAGCTCCTTCCTCTGGGCCTGGTCCTTTTTCCCCCTGCATCAGGCCAGGGCTGGCAGGTGGCTTTAGTTTCTTTTCTTTCCATCAGGATTTTGCATTCGTGTGTTAGAGCTGCCCTAACAAAGCGCCGCGGACTGAGTGGCTTAAATGACAGACACGTATGTCTCAGGATTGTGGAGGCCAGCCGTCCGAGCTCAGGGTGCAGGCGGCGCCCTGTTCCCGCTGCAGGCCCCGGGGAAGGGTCTGTTCCAGGCGGCTCCCTTTGGCTCTGGTGGTTGCTTGGCCTGTGGCAAAAGAACTGCCATCCTCATGAGGTGTGCTCTTGTGAGTTTCTCTGTTGATTTTCCCATTTTTATGAGGACACTGGTCATACTGGGGTAGGGGTTCACTCTGCTCCAGTGACCTCTTAACTGATGACAACTGTAATGACCCTATTTCCAAATAAGGTCACATTCTGAAGTACTGGTGTTAGGACTCCAGCATGTGAATTTTGGGGGAACACAATTCAACCCATGACAGATCTATATAGAGATTCTTTTTTTTTTTTTAAAGATTTTATTTATTTTTTTGACAGAGAGAGACATAGCGAGAGCAGGAACACAAGCAGGGGGAGTGGGAGAGGGAGGAGCAGGCTTCCTGCTGAGCAGGGAGCCCGATGTGGGACTCGATCCCAGGACCCTGGGATCATGACCTGAGCTGAAGGCAGATGCTTAACGACTGAGCCACCCAGGCGCCCCTCTATATAGAGATTTATCTTCTGAACATACTCCACCCATCTTGGTTCCTTGGGGTCCCCAGTACTTAGAGGTTTGTGAAAAGTCTATTAATTCCTATTAATTCTGGGAGCACCTGAAGCTTTTTTTTTTTTTCTCAAACCCAATCCTCCTCACCACCCTCTCTGAGCAGGCTGATTCCTTCCAAAGCCATGTTGAACGCAGGCCTGCACTAACCCCGGGCTGTCCTGATGAGTCTCCATTGTAGGCCAGTCCGAGCACCAGGGCTGAGGCCCTCATGACCAGATCTGAGTGTCCCCTCATGGCACAGGCCAGGCCTGTCACCTTGAAATGTTCCTGTAACACCTGGGGTTTTCCTCACAGCCTGTGCATATTAAATGGTTCTTATTGCTGCAATGACAGATTACCACAGAGATGATGGCTTCACAAAACAGAACTTTTTTCTCTCAGAGTTCTGTAGTTGGGAAGTCCAAAATCGGTGTCACTGAGTCCAAGTCAAGGTGAGGCAGGACTGGTTCCTTCTCCAGGCCCTAGGGAGGATCTGTTTCCTTGCCTTTTCTAGCTTCTGGAGGCTGCCTTGACATTCTCTGGCTCACACTCCCTTTCTCACATCATTCTAATCTCTTGTTTCTATCGTGACAACTCCTACTTCAACATCAAGTCTCCCTCTACCTCCCTCTTTTAGGAACACTTGTGATTACATTTGGGGCCCCCCAGATAATGCAGGATCTTCTCCCCATCTCAGTATTCTTTTTTTTTTTTTTTTTAAAGATTTTATTTATTTATTTGACAGAGAGAGAGACAGCTAG